ATAACAGTCTATGAGTAAGGTTCGTGCCAAATCCATTTTATGCGATATACTATATGCTACCGCGAAAGTATATAAAAGGAAGATATATATTTTAGTTTTAATAAAACATTACGTATCGGGCTTTTTAGCCAAGCTAATATAGAAAACTTTAAATTCACTTATAGTAAAAAAGCCAGCTCTTAACCGTTCCCAGCGCTGGGACACATTTAAATACGCAATTGTTTGCTGGTCGATCGTCAAATGTTTAGTTTGAAGACGTGTTTTTCACTTTAAATATACATAATTTTTAAAAGACTCGATCTATAATAATTAAAAATGTAATATTTAAAAAAATTATTCTTTCTAATAGATTTTTAATTTATATAGTGCAAGATATTAAAGTTTTCAAAAACGTACAAATGTAAATTAATAATAAATTTACTCCACTATGAATGTAAGTGATCGGCGCCACGATTTTCACCCTAGCCATCTCACTTCGGAACAGCGCACAGTATGTCCATTCTAGGCCAATGTTTAATTATTATGTAACATAAGTAGTGTATAGCCTTGAGTTACACTTGATTCTTTACGATTGAGATATTTTTATTGCCTCTTGTTTACATGAGTGTTATTTAGTAGCAGTTCTTCCTGTTTATTATCAGTTTTATAACAATTGTGTGCGTTTTCAATATTGACTAATCTAGCGAGTATTATTTTTATTATACAGGATGACAGTATAGGGTCCAGGTTATATAGCAACATCTAAATATGTTAGATGCGTCGTCGACTTATTTTAGACTCTCAAAAATCTATACATTGGAACCAAAACGCGGAACTATACAAACTTTCTACCTGTAGACCAAAACGGTGGTTTGTGACTCACACAGTGTTTCAATATGCCTATAATTATGACCAGATTTTCCGAATAATGTCCAACATGATTAGATTAGATGGAACAAGCTCCTAAATGTAGAAGTTTGATTTAGTAAGTACTTTAACTATTGGACTGCGTTGTTCTTTGTAATCGAAAATATATTGTGTTACACTCTTTAAACATTGTTTTACCGAGAAATGTGACAAAATAATTTGTCAACGTTAATTTACGCCTGTCTATTGCAGCCATTTACATTAAAACACAGCTCGACCGAATCACCTTCAAGTGCACCAAATCAGCAAGTTAGCGATTTAAAAGAGATTGTATTGAATGCGTGATTTCCGGAAGTTTACCGAAGTGATAACTAATGAAAGTATATTGAAATTATTTAGTGAAGGCCGACAATCACTTGCTAAGGAATAAGAAATTGCTTTTACGATTAACTGCGTCATTTTATACTCATTTCAGTTATGTATATCCACGCCATCTTGTGGCGTTTCTCGAAACCAAGATATAAAATATATTCCATGTTGTAATTTGTAAACGTTTCATACATGTTACTCTAGATGACACCACTAAAAATGATATTTTTCTTTCTTGGAGTCTGTAGACAAACGCAGTGTTTATATGAGGTTTATATTTAGCAAGAATCTGTCTTTATTCGGACAATATTTTTTAAATATTTATAATAAAACATAAAGACAGTAATAGGATACTTGCATATATATCGCATATTTAAAAAAAATCTTATCAGCACAACAAGGAATCCGCGAAGGTTATTAATACCATAATTCGTATGATTTTTAGTATTTTAATTTTGACCCTGTTATAAGTTTAGCAGTAACCATGTCAGTTTCGTTTCGTTTCACACAAACAATGGTAGGCTTGCCTGAGGCCTGTCGACCGATGCGCTTGGCTGACGAGCAAGACCTAAAAGACGTCAAAGAAAATCAAAGAGAGACATGAAAACTTCAGGAAAGACTGATGTACTAACATTTATTTCTACTTAGGTATATATAGATTATACATATTATACATACTAGGTATAAAATCATGCCCTTACAACTTATTGTAAAGCCTAATCGACCCACATTCGTATATCAAGGAGACTAGAATCACGATTCACCACAACCTTACATTGTTACGATTTTTATGTGACACAGGTTAATGGTCTAATGGTAGCTATTTATGGCTTATAATCATGAGGTCATGGTTTCGATTCCTAGCTGTTCCAAAATGTTTCTAATCGATTTATAATTTTTCTAAAACATGTTTAACTTCGTCTAGATATCTGGATATAAAATGAGTGGCAGGATTATCGAACTCTCCACATATAAAAAAGGCGTGAACTTTAATTGCGTTATGATTTCTATGTATGTGGATTTTTGAATATTCAATTAAAATTGGTCGCATTTAGGTTAGATGTTGTGTGGACGGGATATTTGGCCTTCCGTCGAGTGAACGCCATGCTTGTTTGTCCTCTATTATAAAAAAAAAACAATTTGTCAGTATTATAAAAAATACATACAAATTCTAGGTTTTTCGTTGTTCTTATGTAAGGCACCAAACACACATCGAGATACGAATCCAGAATAACTCATGTTAGATCGTCGTAAATCAGCCTACTGTATAGTTTAAAAAAACTTCCGTTTTTTATTTGAAAAGAATAGGTATTGTTTTGTGTCTACTGTTATCTACTATATTAAATACATATATACACACATAAAGCTTTTTACATCTAACTTAGTGGAATATAAGTTCCTCTAGAGAAAAATAATAAGTTACTGGTACAATTGGTGAATGCTATTTTTGAACCCTCGACGCAAAAAACGAAATAATCGTGCGAGTAATTATTTTTTACGCGATTAGCAAAAAGAAGACATCGTTATCAACGAGTGACTTCACAATTTCCGCGTTCAAGAAAATGCCGTCTTTGTTATAAACATTTTTATACGCTAATAAGAATTAATTATGTAAATGCTAATCACTTTTTTACTTGCATGTACAAGCTGCTGTTAAGTAACTAATCAGTCCTTCAAGTAATTATTCGCCTGGTACATTCATGAAAGAAAAACGCGAATGCTTTGCATAAACATTCAAGGTGTAATAGATAGTTAATGGAATGGTCAGAATTGTCTTTTATTTTATACTATTTAATTGCTTTTTAAATTAACTCACTTCCCCTTTAGACTCATTTCGTGTTCACTGAGTTAGTAAAGAATAATAATAATTCGAAATCTATACTTCATTGTATAAAGCTGAAGAGTTTCTTTGGAACGCACTAATCTCAGGTAGTAATCATGGTCGAAGTGTTGGTTGGAGCATCTATTGAGGAAGCATTAGGCTAATAAACATCGGGCTGCCACTCATAGGAGCAAAAAAACAGTGGGAAATGTGAAAAAACGGGGAAAATTATTCGTGTTAGAATGTAATGGACCAATATGAGTAAAACTATCAAATTAAATGAACGCAAGCACAAAAGTTACTGCGAATTAATTTCGTTATAAATTGTGTACAATTGCACAACATAATATCTAAGGCCATCTGACAGAACTTATGCACAATTACATGTGACTTATAGCAACGGAAATTTTGATAGGCACTTTAAAATTATGGTAGAAATGTATCGCTAATAATCAAAGGGTCATAGCTTCGATCCCCACCAGGTCCAATATTTTTCTAATTGACATATGATTATTTTGAAACGAGCCGTTACGAACTAACATCGACAAAAGCCGTGAAGTTTAATCGCGTTTCGGGTTTAATCTGTAGATTTCCGAATATCCAAAGTCAAAATATAGAAAATCGACATCGTCTTACTTAGATGTTGTAGCTACAACAGCATGCTTAGCTGTCCTCGTCTTTCATAAAAAATATAAAGCTAACATTGTTTCCGACCGTAACAACACAATGCAGAAGCTCTTAGATCGCCTTTTAAATGATCTTGCGTTACCGTGGCTATAAGCGGTTGCGTTACTTTATCAGGCCAAGGTTTCGTTGCTTCAGGCTTTCTACTTGACACTAGGTCTAACGTGAACATCATTTAAATTCATCTCACCTTTTAACCTTTTATTTGAGTAATTGTGACATTCATCTATGGTTTTACTGCCGACGAGAGAAGTATTTTTTCTTTGACGTTCCTCTCCAAAGAAATGCCCAATGGTTCGTAATAATGCCGTGAGTGGCATACGTTAAGTAATTTTTAGTCGAATTATTGTCATTAGTTTGCGCTTTATCGGTTCAAACCGTGAAATTTATTAGTTAACTTATTTACAATGTATTTTAAGTACTAATACTATTAGTATGGTACGCTAGCGCCAGCGCTAGTCATCGACTTGACTTTTGCTCATCTGACTACCTCCATCTTCAGTTCTCTTTTCAGCAGGCTAATTCAGGGGCACATTTCGTGTTTTAAGCAGTCAAAAGTATTTTATTTAAATTTGAGTCTACTAAAATATTCACTAGTCGTCAAGTTTTACAACGACTCTGCCTATACCTAAACTCGCCACGAGCGATGATATTGAATCGTTTAAGCTTAACAGTCGACTGGGCACAACCTTGTCTTCCTTTACATCGGTTTTCAGTCTGACATAGATCGGGCCTAATGAACCGAAAACGTAATGACGTGCCTCCATTTCAGCATGATTTCACTTTGCCTATCGTGCTAGACAATGCTTTTGCTCACGAAACTGCAATTTTACTCGTCTGCCAATTAAAACTCGGAGGAACAGGCTCGTCGATAACGAGTGAAACCTTTATTCTTATTGCGTGATCAAATATAACATGGTTAGAGATCTCCTAGTAATTAAATAACAATCGTTTTTATTTACACTGCTGACCAGCCGACCTAAGGCCTAAGCATCTCCACTATGCCAACTATCGCATAGGAGATCTATGGAGCTTAGAATCACCACCATTACCAATATTATATACATCTGCCTCTTTATTATTTATCTCTATTTAAACTTGTTCGTACAGTCTACAGTCAAAACGATCAATTTTAAATATTGATATGCCTGTTTTCTTTATGTCACTACTTATTGGGACAAGGAGAAATCTAACAATTTACATGACATAAATTCGATTTATATACGAAATACTCAAAAATACCGGCACAATGTTTTAAAAGATTTCATTTTTGTTGCAGTGCTGGAATGATGGGCGAGGGCCTGCTGACCTTGACGTACGGCAAGCACCACGCCTGCATCCTGAACGAGGTGGGGGCGGCGTGGCGTGGTGCCAGGTACTCCGACCTGGTGCTGGTTTGTGACGACGCCGTGCCATTGGCCGCCCATCGGATCGTTATGGCCGCAGCTAGCCCTCTCATTAGGTGAGCATCTTTAACATTATCCACTATTCTCTTTTCTCGACTAAAAATTCTTAATCATTATTGCGTTCGTATTATATATTCTATGTACATATATGATATAATATCAAGAAATAAATTTCGCAAATCAAATTAAGCATTTTTAATAAATTCTTCGTATCTTTCGTATTTCAGAAAAATCCTGGACGACACGCCTTCAGTTGAAAACCCGGTGACGATTCATATGTCTGGTATAAATAGTACTTTGATGAGGCATCTTCTTGTTTTTCTATACAGTGGTCAAGCGTACATAGAGGTAAGCATTTATAGATTTATTTATAAACAAATTAATGTGACCATTCAAACCGCTGTTACAACATACATGCTGCTGATCCACCTAAAGTCTATCAAATGAATAATATATTGTATTTTTAGTACATACCAATCGTATCATTCACATACCTTTCATTTCGGTTTAATAATTTTTTCAACCTTTATTTTTTCAGTCAGGAGAAATTGATGATATGCAAGAATTATTCGAACTCCTAGAAATTAAATCGGATGTTTGGAAATCAACAAAAGAGCGACAACAGGCAGAAGAAAGGAATAGATCGTGTGACAGGTTAAAAGCAAAGAGAACAGATATAAACAGCAATGAAAGTAGTAAACATGATGCACCGTCGGGATCTTCACATTCAGAGAGTGAAAGAATAACACCAGGTGCAGGCTATAGCAGAGAGAAAGAGAGAGGCGAATCAGAGTCGTTAAGCATAAAAAAGGAGAACATGTCTACGAGCAGCAATGATGAACGAGATGAGGATGACGATGGTGAAGGCAAGGAATGTGGTCGACTGTCCTCACGCCGGCGGAGTTCATCCAACCCCGTCAACTTATCCGTTGCAAGAAATTCAGAAAACGCTGGCAGTGAACATGATGACTCACAGGACTTAGATGTTGAAACAGTGGCGGCAAAGGTAATTTGTTCAAGTAATATTTACGAAATTTCTTTATAAACTAAGTATTTAAAGCTTAAAATAAACAATTGCATATATGAAGTACTTACATAGGTTTTTCTATTCCAGAACATTGAACGTAGACGGTCTACTTCATCAAGCCAAGAAGATCCACCTCCTGAACCTGGATACCGAAGACTATTAAATGATCGACTCGGAAGAGGTAGTGAGAGAACAAAAAGAAAGTCACATTACTTAGAGCCACCTGAAATGGATTTGCGAACTGTTAAACTGGAAGATTACGCACATTTGAAGCCGCCAGATCAAGACATAATGTCTCTCGTACAAACGTCCCCCGAAAATTATGTTGTTACACCGCACAGAAAACGTCGACCAGGCTTCCATAACTCACCATCACAAAACCCTCCATTCGTGTCGTTTCCTCCAAGCTACTTAGAAGAAATGGCTCATCTACGATACGCGCAAGGTCCGGGAGTAGCGGCCGGAGTAGCCAGACTCGGTGCCCTACACCCACTAAGCGCTTCAGCACCCCCGTTCCTTCCAGAAAGAAGTATTACTCCCCCCGCCGCGGCCCACGATGATACACTTAAATATCGTCCTCCAAGCGCCGGTTCGTGGGGTCCGTGGTTATGTCAGCCGCAAATGGGCGGCGATGAAGCGCCATCAACAGAGCATGAACAGGGCTCGAGTAAACAGGCTCCAGTAAGAGAATACCGTTGCGAATATTGCGGCAAACAGTTCGGTATGTCGTGGAATCTCAAAACTCACCTCAGGGTGCACACGGGAGAAAAACCGTTCGCGTGCCGGCTTTGCGTTGCCATGTTCAAGCAGAAGGCGCACTTGTTAAAGCATCTGTGTTCCGTGCATCGGAATGTAATATCGTCGAGCGAGAACGACGGCAGAACTAACACGCCGGGCAAGTTTAACTGCTGTTTCTGCCAATTAACCTTTGAGGCGTTACCGGAGCTGATTCGACATCTTTCTGGACCGCACAATAGCCTTCTGCTAAGCAAAAATCTGCACGAATGACGCACGCGACGCGGCGTTACGCGTTCTGTTGGACTTGGAAAATCCTCTCGCTTCGAGAGATGAAATTGTGATATGTGTTTAAAAGGTTAGAGTAAGATAGCTCGTAAGATATATCGCAGAGCGATACTCATAGTTAGGCATTCGCGGACAGAGGTCGAAGCGAGTGTGTCGTTAACGTCTAGTAATTTTATAATCACATTTGCCGAACGGGTCCAATCGTTATAATTTGTTTAAAAATTATAATTCGGGACCAATACCTTCCGAGATAGTATTTATTTGAAAATTGTATTTCATTAGCGTAAATATGAATAAAAGCCACCGACACATTAAATCCTTAAGAATAGAAAATAGATAAAATTGTCGAAGGAAAGTTGCGAAGCGTTGTACGTACATAGATCCATTACACATTTGACATTACACGACTTACCTACCTCTCGATTAAAATCTACTTTTCGTAGACCTAAAGTGACGTCAAATATTGTCCATAAAATTTTCAACAAGTTGACAATAACTAAAGTCTTGTCCAATTGGGAAACTGTTTTTTTTTTATTTCTAATTCCGCGTATATTTATATACTCTATAATAAATTATTCAAAAGTAGGTATCAAAACTTACATGGTTGAAAAAGTTTCTCCATATGTGGTTATCTATGGTCTATAGTCTATACCACCATTGACCATTAATAATATTTTTTGATTTTCAAAATCGCACTTAAAATCTCAACATTAGCTATATCGTATGTATTACTTAATTGTAATGTGACATAAAATGTGTTCGTATGTTTAAAATTAACTCAGCCTATCTTTATCGTGCCGATTTCAGAGTGGATGAGCACCAAAGATTTGTAGAGCGTGGAAGTTGTTTTGGTGTACAATTAAGAGAAATTTTAGGGACCTGAAATGATATCGATGTAATATTAATGTATGTAGGTACCAATTTAATAATCTCACGACTGTCATTCTTCCTTAATCAATCTAACTATGACTTCTATAATTCCACTACGGGCTATTTGTATTAAAACTTATCTATTTTTGATAACTTTATTCTAGTATTAATATAAAGCACGACGAGAAATACTTTTAAGTACTGTAAGCTATTCTAAATCTTTCGAAGCTTTTAAGACGTATTTCTACTACTGTGGCCAGTTATTTTTAAATGGTATCTTAGTGACTCAGATTATTTTAATATTATGGTTATTTCAAATGTTGATGTCTTGAATTTCTTCTTTTCACTAAATTCTCCTACTGAACTACAAATTCTAAATACTCATTGTGTAAATCAGCTAGAGCAAATAGAAAAACGATAATTTTCTCATCTCTGATTGTGCTATTGGAGTTATTTGTATTTTCAATGAAATTCAAATTGATTGTAATTTTACTTTAAAAACCTAGAGTTACCAACAAGTTGTTCAATGTTTAGATTAAACGACCAATTGTCGGATTGCTTTAATTTTTTCCTGAATGTTACCTATCGTTATACCTGACTTTTTATGTTTGTGTTTTGTTTACGTCTTATTGACGCTTATTTTGTATTGGGAACAACTTAATCATAAGTATTGTGATTGAGGTATCAATAACTTGTATGTGATAATGTGTTACTATTGTAGATCGCATGAGAACGCCGTCTTCCATTGCGTTTTTCAGTTTGACTTATGTTATTTGTAAATATAGTTTAGTATTAAGTCCCCCACATGACAAGTAACGTCCAATAATTCGCTGCCGCTCACGAAACTCGAACAAAAACTTATGATATCAATAAAAAGGCTTCGTAGTTTGTGATATTCTGGCGAGAGCCGATCTGCCTTATTCAAAACAATGCAAACCACTAGATTTAATGGATAAATTATAAATTGTGTTTCAAACATTATTAGAAAGCTGTATGATATTATTAACAAAAATGTAACAATCTTTTCAAGTAACGATACATATTTACAATTTAAGAAACACAATTCATAACTCCGAACTAATCGTTGGCAAAAGCCGCTGGAAACTAATGTAAATATAATATATATATTTTTAATTCTACTGAAAAATTAAGCTTAACTTAAAACCTTGTTGAACATGATCATTGATGTCTGTTAATTGTAAAGTAGTTGATAAGTTTTCACATAGTGTACAATATTTGTAGATATTGTTTAGTACATTAACATTCTGTAAAAATGTGTTCTTACCGTAGTAAATTAAATAACGAGAATATTTTAGTTACACGTGTTGCTGTTTCTTTTTATTATAGATCCTTTATTTTTATTTAATTACCTTAAATAATATATATGCAAGTCTTATATTATAATATCCTCGATAGTAGCAATTCACCATAGTCCGACGCCAAAGGTGATTTTTTTAACCAAATATAATTAAATATTAATGATATAATAATTATATTAAATAACTTAGCTTATATGCTTTTGCCAATCAGGCTTTGATATGGTATATAGGCAAAGGAGCGGTAGGCTCACCTGATGACACATAATAGATTTAATTGAGGCACCAGAAATGCGTTAACGGCCTTTTTGAATTCCTATTAAAAAGTCACAGTACTTTGAGCATCCAAGCAAAGGTGGCGTATGAGCCCTGCTTCTATGAAAATGCAAGTGGTACTCCTCAAGTCATCCTCTATTTAAGACGCAAATGTCTTCTTTATTAGATTTAACGATACGAATTATAAACTTTGTAAAAATATTAGGAGCTAAGGAACATGGTGTTTAGCTACACTATGGTTTTTACAAAGTAGAAAACAATATTACAGCTAATCGCCACTAGTGCTAGTTTTCAAAAATGGCGTCGGGTTCAGAAATAAACTCACTAAAAATAGGGGACACGTTCTTCTACGCTAAATGTAAAAAATGCATTCAAAAAATTAATTTGAATATTATTTAAAATATAGTTAAACAATGATTAAACCTCTATAGCCAAATGAATAAACGTATTGCCCAGCATCGCGTTAATCTCGAGAGGTCCTGGATTCGAATACCAGGGGAAAAAACCACTTGCATAAAACGGATACAGAAATGTGTTTGCCCTATGCACCACTGAAGGAAACAGTATTACACTTTTAAACAAGGATTTGAATTTGTGTATTACAAAGATGTAATTTGATAGCGACATTAATATTACTCAAAGCTATACTAAAATTATGAATCTGTAGAGTTTGTTTGTTAGTTTGTTTGAGCGCGCTAATCTCAGTAACCACTGGCTCGAAATTAAAAAATATTCTTGTGTCGGTTAGAGTATTTATTGGCGACAGCTTTAGGCTATAAAACATCACGCTGCAACCAATACAAGCGAAGAAATATTGGGAAATGTAAAAAAAGGTCAAAATTATTTATCTTTGTGAGCGCTGTGAAAACGGTTCCTATTGAATCGATCTAAAGGACCGATACAGTAGGTATATGTTTATCTTTTTAAATTAACTTGCAAGACACGACATCATGTGTAACAGCTAAAATTTGTAAGATGACGCAAAAACAAATTTTGATGCCCAAAATAACTATTCTACGCAGCCGAAATCGCGGTTACAGCTAGTACAACAAATAATGTAATTTCACTACACCCACACAAATCAATGAAAGATAGCTGATTATTAATAGTTATATCATACTTAAACTCATTTCATAACTCCATTTAAACGAGTTAGCTGAAGCCAGTTACTAGAAGCGATGCTTGTATTAACAGTTTGCTATAAGGAAAGTTTGATTGTTCGTTATATTAAAAAAACTGTTTACAATATTGTGTATACTAAACTAATATACTAAGTGAGTATGTAGATTTGTGAGTAATAATTCAAAGCACGTCCAAGTTTTAGTAGGCAAAATAAAACCTTTCCATTTTAAATTGTAAGTATATGCTTATACCTAATTTAATATTTAAGCGATGAAATGTCAAAATATTGGAAATTTTTACTGTGTCACATATGCTTATGATGGCACTGTATAAATTAAAATCAAATTTCATAAAAAAAAATTACGACACGGGCAGATCTTGAACCGGCATTGAACGGCAGAGTTATAGTTGAAACTATATTCGAGATGTGTATATATCAATAGGTTGAAAAAAATTCGACAATCACGTGTAAGACACGGTAGCTCAATTGGTTAAAGCAATAGCACGTAACGGTGTGGACGCCGGTTCGAGTAATGTTCGTGTCGTAATTTTTTTAACCTAAAAATTGACATTTCATAAATATCAAATATTTCTGAATCTATATTGTGCTTAATGTAACCACTAAACCAACGTTCAAAAACCAGATAAACAGTAAAATTATAAGCGAGAAAATATTATATTGTTTATTCGTCATGTTAAAAAATGATAAAATTTCTACGAAAATTCTAAACAAATGTTTGAATGTTTTTCTCAATATCACCTTTATAATTTAGCGTATCTATTAGCATTCCAATAAAATGTGCGAATTGTTATATACTTATTTCTTGAATTTACTTCTTCACATAGTTGTATTGATGTGGCTACTATATATACTATATATAGATTCATTTAATGGCATGACGATGTCAAAACGTGTTACCATAATTGAAACTTTAATTTCTTTTTAATACGTTATTTTTCTACACTAAATTATTCATCTGTCAAATGAAGTAAATTTAAATTTATAGTTATACATATATAAATAGATAGTAGTGCTATATAGTTGCTGTCTTATTCAAACTGCTTTAATTTTGCTTCAATTTAGGAATTGTAAACCTTCACTATGAACTTAACAAAATGGCTTCTTTTAAACTCATCCGCAAAGATTTGTTATATAAGATTCAAAGAAGCTCCAGTTTCAAACCGCGTGTTAAACATTGACAGATTTTTTCCTAGGTCTTATTTAGCAATAAGAATCTAAGTGGTTTTTGAGCATTTTTTGACAATTTGACTTAAATAAAACACTTAACGGTTTAAAACGCCATATATAATAAAATATATTATTAAAACTTATTTGAAAATGATTTTACGACGGATCGACGTTTCAGATGTTTTGCAGCAGTCGTGGTGTAGCGTAAACTACAGACAGTATATTTTAATTTGACTTAAAGAAGCAGCATCATATTGCTGGCAACAATAATTAAATTCTCGCTCGAACAAAACAAATAGAGAAACCAGTACGTAGTTAGTCCTACACGTTTAAAAATAGATAGAAAACAAAAAAAGGCAACTCAAACCGGTAAGGTTGCAGATGCTAGGATAGCTTTTTGCAAGTGCGTAAAGAGGATACTTAGTATGGGAAAATTCCGACGTTCATCTTTAACTAAAGTTAAAGGTCTTTACCACTAGGTACATTGTTCAAGAAAGTATTTAAACAAAAATTATACACGATAAAATATTACTATTAAAATACCAAAAGGAAGTTTCCTAAAAACGCCATGTTTCTCCGTTTGTGTATTAATAGTCGTAGAATTCGTTAATAAAAATACGAAACTTAACTACAAATCGGATGAAAAATGTAGTAATTATTAATTAAAGAATAAATATCTTAAATACGTCTATAGTTTACGCGAGTAGTACATATGTGAATAGACAGTCCATTCCACCCTGCAGTGAAGGTCGAAGTTAAAAATCTTTTCAAATATGTTTCACCAATATATCGCGTTTTAAACCATTAAAGTGTTATATTTAAAGGTAAATATCTTTAACGAAAATTATCTCGTTATGACGAAACACAAAGATAAGTTCGACGTCTGCTGTCCTGTGGTCTAAGTATTTACTGTTCTTGATTTGCTTTAGTGTTAAACGATCCTAATTTGAGGTTTAGACAGATATGATGAAACAACACTGTTTAAATAAAAAAAAACTATAATGGGAAGGACCATTTTGATGACGTCTTTTAGTTTACACGAGTCGTACATATTTGAATAAACAGTCCATTCCACCCTGAAGTGATCGCGGCTGTTAAGTAACTAATATTTTGTACTTTAAACTGTTAAGTGTTTTATTCAAAGATTAATATTTCATTTATCTCATTAAGTGTTAGGATATATTGATAATGTCGAGCTCTTTGGTTGTTCATGGTGGGTAATATATAGACACTGATAATTTTGGCAATATAGAAATAATTAGGTTTCAAAAATAATTTAAAAATCTTTTCACCGTTATTGGTAAGTTTGTTCGTACATTTTTGTTCTTGTTGTTAATGTTTAAGACAATACCTTTTTCGGTAACAACTCTTATTAGCGTAATATATGTTGCTACTTTACTAATTAAAGTAGAGTTCATTTAAAAACAGCGTTCCAGACTCACAAAAACTCGTTCCAGCTCCACTTGGTCTGGATGAAAAAGAACAATGCAAACCTATTAACACATACTGGATAGACATTACCTAACAAGGCCTGTTGCGAAATTCATTACACGAAGCAAACATCAGCTTGCCTGTGTTGCTAGATACAGAATCCAAGTTTGACCCAATCTAAATAAAAAACAACACATTATTTTAGGTATATAAGGGTAAAATACTAAGAATATAATTCAGGGTTGTATTTATTTATTTTTTAATATTGAATTAAATAAGCAAACTTCCAACTCACGTTTCATGACCCTATACGATATATTACAAGTTTTACAGGTAATATTACTGTAAACAATGTAAAAAGCTTTAGTAGATATTTTGTTACATTCTCAAATGCAATTTCTACCCTTTCTCACACTGGTGTATTGGTTAAAATACTATAAAGTACTACTTTACCATACAAATTTCCCCTATCCGATATCGGGGTAACTGTCCCTAGGCTGGGAACCCAAGAACTAGCCTATGGTCCCTATGGATGTACCGGTTTATAACTTTGCCACGTTTAAATAGGCTCTGCCGGGACTCCTCTCATCATTCCCGAAGAAGCCTGCCCTGAACCCAGACACCATGTGGCATTTATCCCTGTTGATGCTGGTGGCGACTGCGTCTGCGCAGATACCATCACTGGGATGGTGTCCTGACTATCAGGTAAGTTTTATTTTGGGTAGTGAGAGTTTTAGAGAATTATGTTTTCGGTCCAACTTAGTTTATTACTTCAATTATCGTAAAAACATAATCGTAACGTATATATTTGAAAAAAAAAACATTGGAGTATTACGAAGTACTGCGAGTTTTATTCTATTTATGTTTTTTTTTAAATTTCTTTAAACAAATAAGGAGCTATAAGTTAAAGCTTAAAGATGACTTTAATTTAACTTAAATTACCATGTCTTTACGTAAAATCAGTTCCGTCATTATTCGAACGTGTCTTATTCACAATAGACTCAACGCATTTCTGAAAACTTAATAATGTCATATCGCGTTTGAATTGTGTTGAATTTGCACATTTCTTAATTGCTTTGTTTTCTTAGCCCATGGCCAATTTCAACATCAACCGTTTCCTTGGCAACTGGTTTGAAGAGGAACGCTACTTTACTGTCTCCGAGTTGGGTACGCGATGCGTCAACACAAAATACGAGTCTACACCTGAGGGCAGGATTATTGTTTCCAACGAAATCACCAACTCGCTGTAAGTGCTTTCACCTATTATCGATTATATTTTAGCAGCTTGGTCTCCACTCAAATAATACTAGGATTTCCAATTAATTCCTCGTTACTATGTAATATAGACTATTTGACTGCTCATTAAATTTAAATAAAACACTTTAACGATTTAAAACACGATATATTTTAGTTAAACTTGTTTGAACATTATTTTTTACTATGACCCGACGTTGCGGATGCTTTGCATTAGACGTACTGTTTGTTAACTTTTTTAATTATGATCTTTCGTGTGACTTTACGCGTCTAGGTAAATTTAATATCTAACCAGTGTACTTGGTTTTAGCCGGTTTGTAATCTTCAACCAATTAAAACTATCAATATTTACATTTTACTTGAATGTTTGTCGAAGGGTTAAGTAATAAGATCACTCATATATTACGGGTTTTAAACCATTTAAAGTTTTTTTATTCAAATGTACACTACTCGTGTAACCTACAGACTTTCTTAATACTTACTAGAATTTATTTCTTTTTTTGATACAGTACGGGAATGAAACGCGTGCTAGATGGTACTCTTCAAATGATCGGACGCGAGGGTGAAGGCAGAATGGTGATCAAGTACGCTTCATTGCCCGTGCCTTATGACAACGAGTTTATCATCCTGGACACGGATTATGACACCTTCGCCGTGATGTGGGCTTGTAGTGGTGTCGGGCCTGTTCATATTCGTAAGTTATTATACAAAATTTTACACACCAGTAGAATTAGTAAATTAGAAATGATCTAACATACTTACTCTCAAGACCAGTCAACGGAAGCAAAAATATGTCTTAATTTTTCTGTCTTTGTGAAGAAGGGAAACGGGTGTTAAGGGACCGTCTTATTTTTATGATAATTAAAAAAAAATTAAACGTAGAAGTGTTTTAGGTTACGGGGTTCTTTAATACAAGGGTCACAATGTTCGGATAATAATCAACGGGTCATTGGTTTGACCCTCACTGTGTCTATTCAATTCATAATTTTTTTGACACTTGGCTTAAACAGGTGGCAGGAATTTCGAAATTCAGTCTGCGTCACGAACCACCGTCACGAAGCACAGATGAAAAAGCCGCCATATTTAATCGCGGTTCGGTTACAGTCTGTAATTACAAATATATGTATAGCCAAAATAGACAGCTCATCTTGTGTACTCATACGACGTCCTCTTCTACGATGTAAAAAAAAGAAAAAAATTAAAGAATACAATTAATTATATGCGACTCAAACTTGCGTCCAGTATATGTGTAATCCATTTATTATATTTTGAACTAAACGTATTCTATAAAGCATTTAATATAATTACTTAAATTTCAGAAAACGCCTGGATCTTAACGCGTGATCGCCTTCCAACACCAGCGATAATGATGAACGCATACGCAGTTCTCGACAGATTTAAGATCACAAGAACCTTCTTCGTCAAAACCAACCAAGCCGACTGCAACATCTTACCGCAACCAGCCGCTGCACCACTCGATCTTAAAATTGACGTTATAGTCGATGCCAAGAATGCCGTCCCAGATTCAGTTCTACAAGCCGATGTTCCGGTGAGTTATTTATTTACTATTTTTTCCGGTTACTCATACGCCATACGTAGAGGAACCAGAAACGAACAGAAAGTCCGTTTTGCTGATCGATAATATTTAAATAAAACACTTTAACGGCTTTAAACGCGAAACATATTAGTTACACTTAATTGAAAATTATTTTTATCTACAACACAACGTTTCTAATATATTTCGCGTTTTAAACCGTTAAAGTGTTTTATTTAAATGTGTGCTACTCGTTTTAAAAAACAGTTTTTTTTTCTTTTTTTTACCCCAAATTTTCTTCTCCTTTTTCCCCCCCCTTTTTTTTCCTTTTTTTAACAAAAATCCAGTCTCATGTGCTATGAATGGCAAGATTTCATAATATTTCCTCGGGATTTGAACCTAGGACGAAAGGATCTAAGTATATGTAATCAGGTATACAACGGAAGGCGATGAGTATTTTCAATGTATAATAAATGAACATGTTACAAAACACGGCCCGTAACAATCCATAATAATATTCCCTTTTCTAAGTGTAAGTTATTTGAATTTTGTAATATAATTTTCTACGAAATAAATAAAGAATTCTATAAACCTAAAGTAGAATATTTAAAAATTAAATATATTTACAGGAAAATTCCGAGGTCCTAGAACGTGCCGCAGTTCCTGAAATAATGGAAACAAAGCCACTTAAAATGCCCGAAGAAGAACAAAAGAAGGATGAGAAAATGGAAAAGCCGATGACAATGGATATGAAAGACGAGATGATAAAGAAGGATGAAATGATGATGAAAAAAGATGAAGTGGTCCAGCAGGAAGTAATGGAGAAGAACGAAGAAACAAGACCTAGTTAATTTTAATGTGTAGTTTACGATTTTATTTTTGTTTGGAGATGCTTATTGTAAAATGCATGGGCTATTGTACCAAATAAGTCATAATTGTGTGATACTTAAGATATCTTCTTAACGTTTCACTCTTTCTCAGAATACGAAATAAAGGTTTATAAAAAGTTTTGTTTACTTACTTTAACTTAGAATTTTAGAATGTTTTGATCTATCTAGGCTAATATAATAAAGCCGAAGAGGTTGTTTGTTTGAACGCGTTATCTCAGGAACTACTGGTTTGCATTAAAAATATTTTTGTGTTGGTTAAAGTATTTATCGAGGAAGGAAGGAGCGAAGTAACAGCGGTAAATATGAAAAAGAGGGGAAAATTATCACAATGAAAAAAATTATACAGAAATGTTCGCGACACTAGGTTTATCTTTAAAGTTAACGAGACGCGACCGGCGTCTAGGATAACAGCTTGGTTTTATACAGATGATAAGGAGGTTTGTAAAAACAAATTTGGATGCCCATAACTATTATATATTTTATACCGACGAAGTCACCGACACAGTTAGTTTTGGGAAATTATAAGTCACACAATTGTTTATTGGAACTTAAACTTCTAATTTTATAATACAACGGGATAGCCTCTAATAAACTAGTCGTTTTTACGCCAACTAAATATTGTATAGAAAGCGTCAAGTAAAATATCAATATTGTGACTTGTCCTTCTTTTTATATATTGCCTCTTTTAACTCGGCCACGGATTTACATCTCGTACTATTTTACGTTTTACAACTTCAACCATGTCCTCAAAAAATATAATTCAAGCTTCTAAAAAAAATTTTTAACTACATGTAAATATTATCATATTCTTTTATCGTGAAAATACCACTCAATGCTTTGCTCTTCAAAGTCGTTCTTGAAGAAATGGAAAGACCAAAAACTTCCTAAAATATTTTAAAAAAGAATGGCTAATAAAAAACCCAAATGGTATTTGGGTGCACACCATATCACCACACGAACAACGCACTCGAGTGTTTTAATAGAGTTATAAAAACCACAAACTCTCGCGAGCGTATACCGTTGGCCCGTTTCCTTGTGGTCTGAAATGGTTAATAACTGGTCAAACAAAGAAAAATTTGCGAACAACCTCATTGCAGTTATCAGATGGAACAGGATATAATGGGCGAAAACTACCAAAATTAGAGTTGTACATTCAACCCACCAACAATATTTAATTCCAGGCAACAACTTATTCAAAATTGATCAAGCTGAGAAGACTTTCAGGTGTTTTGACGAATACAAATAAGTGTTTTTTTCATTTTGGAACGTATACTACCGAACAATCAGACGAGTGGATTACTGGTTGCTGTGATTGTCCAGACTTTATCGCAAGTACAGCTGCAAGCATTGATAGGCCTTGCAATCAGACTGAATACTACGCCTCCTAGAAACTGGACCAACAAAACGCGAGCTGCGTTAATAATCCAATAATGGTTTAATTTCCTTTTTTGATTAGGTACTGACTACATTATTTTTATGTTCCTATTATTTACTATAAGTCAAATGATGGTAATTCAATAAACAAATTGATTTTTCAAAAATAAAACTTTTATTTTTGTCTCTCCTCAATAGCTTCTGGTAATATTAGTAATATATTGGATATTAACATTTAATGTCAATTTTGCCAAAATTTTGACGTTCAATTAATATGGGATGAGTTACATTTTAAATGTACTGAGTTAAAAAATTAAAGCTAAATAAATTATTTTTTGATATCATTTAATAGTATTTTAGAATTTCGCGATATGAATGCATGTTATAAATTTAAATGCTAAAAAATAACCATCATGCTGAATTGTATTTAGAGTGGTTTACATAGAAGATAACTAGTGGCTACGATAGTATTATTTAGATGCTCGTTAAATGTGGCTGACTTAGTAATTTAGAAGGCAACATACATTTTTGGAGGCAATAGTATATTAAAAAGAAGCGAGTTTAATTAGCACCCGTTAGTTTTTAGATAAGTAGGTGCAAAAAAATTCAACAAAAGGAACGGGTCTGGTTATATTGGTCGGGCTGATACTGAGCGCCCACTCCCGGCCGCTATCCCACTACTGCCCGATACGGGGACTTTTGGCTGCTGGGTTTCCCCTCTGGCCCGGTTCGCCCCTCCTTAGTTAACCTGCACCCCCCAGACTCCTCCGGGGGGTCCATATTAATACCAGGCTTAGTGTGGACGTCCAGTCAACATGGACATCTCAGCACCAGGACTCCCAACCTCAAACCATCCTCCGCACCAGACCTCCGAGAAGCCGGATTACAGGAGACGCCACGCTCCCAGTCGAGGTACGGCACGAAATTAAGTAACATACTTATCTACATGAATGTCAGTTCAAATCTAAGTAATTGAAGAATACTTTTTTTATTTTTTACAAAGAAAGGACCAATAATGGAAGACATGGGAAAACGAGAAAATACAAATACACAAAACTTTGATGAAAACCAAAAATATTACAAATATTTTTACTACATGGGCAGCTAACATGGCATAAACTATGTTCAAAGCCATCTATTAGAAAATGTAGCTTAAATGACGACGTGACGACATTTCAGTGATGACAGTGAAATTTCCATAAATTGTGAGTAGTATTTATATTTTTTAAGCACTCTTTAAAGCATCCGATGAAATTAATTGTGTTTAAATTTTCTTTCTTTTATAATTTTTACGTTGCTGTGAAATATATTTATAATATCAACCAGTTACTAGATAAAATGGGATTGGTAAGATATTTCGCCATTTATTAAAGTTGCTTAGATTGCTTTTTATAATTATATAATATTACTGGGCATTATTATAAGAAATTTTGCAATGTTGTCAAGACCATAGTAAACCATCAATAACTATAGAGGGCGCTAAGTACATCAATAGAAATATTTTTTTAAGTATGTTTTCGTTGATATGTATCTTTTTACCCAATAAGGGCTCCGCTTAATTTTCTTGTTTTAAATGGATCTTTATGAATACTTATTTCGTTAAAAGATGAGATGACATTTATTTTTCAAGTAAAATGTCTGTGTATTTGAAGAATCGCAATGCTAAATTAAAATAAATAATTACAAATCACCTAAAAAAAATCCTAGTAAAACCTCTCATACCAATCAACAGGGCGTTTCGGTTGAAAATCGATCATGACACAGCGGAACATGAACCCACGACCAAGCTGATACGGTTACGTGAATCTTTACAATATTATAACATTTTCAATAATAGTAATCTAGAAAAAAAAACATTTTTTTTCTGAAGTATATTTGCGTAAAGAAATACGTATTTTGACAAATACGTATCAAATGCGTTGACGTCATTTTGTATCTAGAAAGTTTCCTATAGAGGGCGCATTTCACAATTACAGTATTTAAGTGTCAGACGATGTCTTTAAATATTCTAACAACGTTTTCTATGTGTTTAAACAAAACATATCACCGTTCCTTAGAATTTGAATAGATAACAAGGAAAACCAATTTTCGTGTCCATAGAATCACAACGAAATTCACAGAAATTATCGCGTTAAAAAATGTAAGTAAACAAATCGAATGTAAAATATTATGCAATGTTTCGATCGGTGTTCAAGCAGTCATTGATAGACCAGTTGTGAGGACACATCTAAAAAAGTGTTAAATTATTTGCAATATTTTTTATACGTCAAGGTAAGTTAATGCTTCCAAAAAACCTAAAAGCATTTGTTTTACATTATTGTAATGCCTGATACAAAGAAATAAACAACTAGCCCAAATAAAAAACGCAATAAGAAGGCAAGGTAGGCAGATAGATAATATAATAGTTAATAACTGACTAATAGTTGATCATATTGCATGTATTATAAAAAAATACTTGAATGATTTAAAGGTAACGATCGGCATTAAATAATATTTTAAAATTTCTTCACCAAACCCCAATCCATATTTAAATTATATTGTACGAGAAGTATCATTAAGGTTTTTTAATGATTATGTATTTTGACCCGGGGCCATCAATACTAACCAGACATGCAATATATTGAAAAAGTTTTACAATGACGTCAATGACACTGTAGTTTTGGTTAAAGCAACAGCAACACTATGGATAGCGATTCAATTCTGCCTGTTTCATATGTTTTAAATCTAAATAGGTCTTTTTTATATAATGCCATAATGAGCAACATGTGAAAAATATTACAATTTTAGAAATAATTAAATGTTCCTTGTAAGCAGTTGAAGAAGTAATTACTTTTCCGACCGGATTATCTATAATTAATTGATCAATAAATTAGTTTGTGATCTTTTAACCTTTATGTCTACCTCCGCGCCATTTTTTGTTTAATTATTACTTAAAAATATTATATGCAGTGACCGCTAAGAAGTGTAGCTAATGCGGACACAATATCCGTAGAGCTTATACTGCACAAGGAAGTCTTAGGTTACATTATTATTATAATTATACTTTAGATCTCTTGCATTGAGAAATAGAAAATAGCTTAAGCCACTCTTGTTAAATATAGATTAGCAATACTATGGTAACAAGTACTTGTTAAGTTAAGTGCAAGTTAAAACATGTACATTTCATTAAATGTATTATTTTATGCATTGTTTATTTAAAATTTTGGCGTAATTTCAAACCAATCAGTAAATTAAAAATTAAATAGCTCGAAATGCGCTAAAGCTGATAAATACTGTATAATTTCACTATGTACCTTAGGTAAACGGAATATTTTAATAACATGATAATAAATTAAACTAACTAATTATTACGATTGAAAAATAGCTACGGCATGTGTGGGACATGGACAAGTCCTGTCCTTGTCGGTGATAATATCGAAAAGACAAATATTGTCATTAACTATCTTAATCGGTTTTTTTTTCTTGAATTAAGTCTTAATAACTATCAGCACAAATGGCTTTTTAGCCCAAAGGATTTTTTTTTTTTTCCCTTTTTTTTTTCCAAAAAGGATTTCATTTTTTTAAAAATTTTTTTTTTTTTTTTTTTTTTTTTTTTTTTTTTATCAAACTTAACATACCAAGAAAAAATCAAATGTATTCTCGTCAAATCCATCGCTGTCCTCTGTATCGCTTGTTAAATATTTTATTTGCACGTTTTTACGTTTAAGTACCTAATAGTGTTCACAACAATGTCTACATTTCACATATGCAGATGACAAATTATCGTAATATGTAAAGCTGAAATGTTTGTTTGTTGGAACGCGCTAATCGAGCGAGCATTTATAGAGGAAAGTTATAAGTCTCTAAAACATCGCACTGTGACTAATAGAAGCAGAGACACAGCAGAAAACGTCCAAAAAAAACGGGATAATTTTCATCATCATTTTGGGTGCGTACGCAGCGAAAACGGTTCTAGATACCTAAAAAATGTGTAAACAAGAATTAATCCTCTTTAAATAATCTAAAAAAATGTCCCCGATATGTTTCTCTTTTAAGATTAACTTGCAAGAACGACGGGATGCGGACGAAGTTAGGCAAAAAAAGATTTCAGAAAAAAATATTTCGAAAGTCTGAATGCTATAAAATTATAAAGTATTCAAAATTTTAAGACGAACACACTTAAGACGGAAACCCTATAACCATATATTATTTAATCATTTTTACCAACACTAAAACATATCTCATAATTTTAAGTCAAATCGCAAAAAAGCTGTTTCAGTACTGACAAAACAACTATCCTCGCGCGTCTAATTTTTAATGTTCAAATAACGAAATGATGTCATATTCTGTGAATTGTAGGCTTGTATCCTGCGAAGTGTGAAGGTTATATTACTCACTATGATAGTGATTATTTATCAGACAAATAGAACGATCCCAAAATCCCAATAACTAGATAACGAAAGTACACTATTATATACATCTACGTGCATCGACAACTATTCATTTCATATTTATTTTATACTAGCTGTGCCAGCGACGACGTCCGCGTAGATTTTGGCCATCAAAATTTATTATTGTAAACCTCTCTCATTTATAAATCATAGCTGTTACCTGCGCGTCCAGTCGATCTTGCAAGTTTCTCTTATGATAGATATATTGTGGCAGATATTTTTTAGATCATTTAGAGTAGAAATCATTTTCACATACTTTTTTGGGTATTTTGAGCGTTTTCGCAGCGCCCCAAACCCTTAAAAATGAATGTTTCTCATTTTTTCCACACTGCCGACGTTTTATAGACTCAAGCCATCTTCGATAAATGATCTAACCAACTCAAGAAAATCCAACCAATAGTTCCTGAGATTAGCGCGGTCAAACAAACAAATTCAGATGTATTATTATAGATTAATCGCGACTTGTTAATTGTACCATGAAATAAAAACTAAAATAAGCCTGTAAGATGACGAAGATGATTTTTAAGAACGATATAGATTAGAGTACGTTCGATTTCTTATCGATTAAAACCTTTGAGTATCTGTCACTTTGAGATCTGAGTCACAAATCCGTTTAGTTATAAATAATATGAATCATTAAAGTCAGAGAAAGATTTTAAAAGTGTGAAAGCCCGTTTCCCCCTCGTGGGCTACGGGGCGAACACATTTGTATGTCCGTTTCACTGATCCGTTCAGAGAAAGATTTAATGATTACTAGTCCAGTAACGTTTGACGTTCGTTTACCTAATGGTAATGTATGGCTCACAATCGACGCATCTGCAACATCTACAACAGGAATATCGCAATTCCGTCTGGGTCACAAACGAGCGATGAAATGCCGTGAAGTTTAATCGCGCTTCAGTTTGTGGATTTCCGAATATCCAAAGCCCAAATTGATCGACAACGTATCTTGTTTAGATGTTGTATAGCTGGGATATTTCACATACCATCGATTGAACTCCATGCTTATCTGTTCTCCTCTATCATAAAAACACTAGTATTGATGCTATCGATAGAAAATACAGGCTTGGTTTGAACAGGGAGGGTTTGAAACAAAAATATATATAGATCAATAAATTGAAGTAAAATTTAACAATACTCTTTATATCTCTATAATTGGAAGAGGAATTAATTCGAAATATTATGAACCTAAGCTGCACTTTAGATAATTGTAACACGGTGAATATGTAAAAAATTGTACGATATATTAAAAGGGAGGCAAGATTCCATATTCATCATTTAGGCGAAGGTAATCAGCCTGGTAACAAATTAAGTAATATTGTCAGCATTACTTTGATTTTGCAATATTTATCTTATTTTATTTAACTTTGCATCCAAAAAAAATAAACTTTATAAATAAAATATTTTTAACCCTTTAAACCCTCTCCCTTAGACCACGGCTGCGGCAAAACATCCGGAATATCGCGCTATACTTAAAATAAATATTTCGCGTTTTAAACCGTTAACGGCGTTCATTAAATGTGTACTACTTGCGTAAACTACAGACAGTACTTAACTAGTTCTTGCTTAATTGCGAGGTTATAAGCATTTATTAATATAATAAGCTAATACAACCAATTATCTATACTATACTAAATACTGTCTAATACCGAGTAGTATAAATCTGAAGATTTGTTTAAACGGTGTTTGTTTAAACCCTAATTTGAAAATTATTTCAACTCACGTTCAAGCTCACACCTCACCAGACACTTTAAAAGTGTCTGGTTAGTTTTGTTTGTTTGATGTCAAAAATTACTATTCCACGAGCGTGAAGTCGCGGGCACAGTATTAAAATAAAGTTAGAACAAAGGGTTCTAACACTCAGTACAGTACCTACTAAACAGAATCATCTTACTTGTAAAATGTACGTGAATAAGCCATTCTGTTGCAATTTTATAGGAAATTAACGCCCTTAAATTAATTGTTTCAGATGTCGTTGCTACAGTCAATAGTAGTGTTTTTGGTGGCATATGTCACTTTAAATGTGGTAAATGCTCAGGTAATGATTCCTGGTGGATGCCCAGATATCAAACCCCTTACGAACTTTGAGCCTGCCAGGGTGAGTGACGAGAGTTTACCTTGTTCAATAAAGATTTTTTATTATTTTTATATTACTTTACTGCAATACACAAACGTTTTTAAACACGCACGTAATTTTACGACTTTCCTTAATTTTGAATCTATGTATTTTAAAGTATGTATGATAATTAAGATTAAGATTAAGGGCTCTTAGAATTTTTTGAAACCCCTTTTTTAAGTAAACCTTTTAATCATGATTTTTCATTGAACGATTACATTTCTATGTCCGTTTAAATGTACGACTTTTACAACCATCACTTTAAGGTTTAAACCATGATATATTAGTAACTATCGTTTTAAACCGTTAAAAGTGTTTTATTTAAATAATACTAGCGTAACTACAGACATTACGTTTATTAAGACGCATTGCTAGATATAAATGCAGTTGGTGATATTGTCAAATAAAAAATAATATGTTATTATAAAAATTTCAGTATCTTGGTAAATGGTACGAGGCTGAAAAATACTTTGCGATCTTTGAATTGGGCGGCCGGTGTATCACAGCCACATACACAGATAACGGCAACGGGGTTATCGGTGTTTATAATAAACAAGTAAATTCAAAGTAAGTGTATGTACAACTAATATTGTAGGTTATCTCATCGGAGAGCTGGTTACTTTTATTGTTAATCGGATGCACGCACGGATTCTTCGAGAATAATATCTATTAATCTTTGGATTCGTATATACAAATTATTATAGTACAAACTAACTAATTAACAAAGAAAAGAGAAACGAAAATTGAATCAATAATGCTTCACTGAAAAGTTATAGAATATTGTTTTACACGTCGTCCTTTAAATTTCCATCAAACGGACAGCAGTGCCAATTTTCTTATATTAATATTTTCTATTACTTAAGATATAACCTTTTTACATCTTCTTTAACATGCTCGGTTTAATAGTACTAATGCAGAGAATAAAGATGACTTTCAACTTACAATTTATTTTTTATCCGATGACTATGTCATAATTATGTGCAATGTTCCTTAACCGTTCAATACAAAGCAACTTCGGTATTATATAGTATATTATGTTCTTACAAATAACAAGCGGACTATTAACTAACAAAAAAATTAAGTAATTATAGCATAACGAGTTTATCTACTTAGGTATAATTAAATCCGCTACGTGGATTTTTTTGTTTAAAACGTTTTATGAGATAGAAACAAATGTTAAAAGATAATAAAGATTTAAGATACCCGATAACTGATAATAAATGACTTTGGTGAACCGAACCCGGAGACAATTTGGAATTTTGCTAAGAACCATTCTAGTACTAATCAGGAGTTGCAATGTCGCTGTAATCACTCTCGCTCCTCGGATAGTGCATTAAGCCATCAGCCCCGGTTATGATCACGCATTAATAGTGGTGATGATAATAGAAGCAGCTAATAGTGGATGTGAGTCTTAACGCTCTCCTATTGGAGAAGAGAAAGTGCCCGGCACAGTTGACTTATTCACATTTTCAAATAAGTTTACTTCTGTTCAGGTTCTGTGTAAATTCTTCTTCTTCCATCTTATTCTCTTCTTTTGTACTTTCAGTGGTAAAAAATCCGGTATAGTTGGAGAAGCAAAATTGACTGGTGACTCAAACGTAGCCAAGCTGAGCGTTCGGTTTCCATCACTACCCGTTGACATACCGGCGCCATATTGGGTGATCGACACAGATTATGATAACTATGCTTTAGTATGGAGTTGCACAGACTTGGGACTTATGCATACAGGTACTCTCTATATAATATGTAATAACAATATATACTAATAATATAATTCACTAAAGAAACTCTAAACACCTCTTGATATTTTACATTGTAGAAACTTCTTGGATTCTTACAAGGGAGAGAAACCCACCACAGAGTGTTATCGACACTGTGTACCAAGCAATTGAGAAAAACAAAATTGACAAGACACATTACATTAAGACTGACCAAAAGAACTGCCCCGAGGATAAGGAATAAGTGAATATTGTCACGTAGATTAAATATATTTTTTTATTTTGAAACTGCCTACAGACAAGTAACATGTAATATCAATTTTAACTATTTCTAAATACGTGTTAAGATTAAACGGTACGTCTAGTCTTAAAGTAATGAAATATTTAATTAATTGTTATTGTGTAATTAATACTATTACATGCATAAATAAAAATACGACCTTCCAAAAAATATTTTATTAAAAGCAACGATAACATAATACTTATTTTATAATATTATTCCTTTACAATTAAAAACAACGCTATGTTCACCACTAGACATTGGTGTTTCTCAAGACTGAATTTTAACCGTGGAATTAATATCGTTCATGCTAGTGGCCGTTAGATGGCGCTGAAACAAAATTCCGCTGTCACAATTTCTGCTGCTTTCACCTAATTTTCATTGTGTATTTAAATGAATACATTAAATGTCTTAGAGAAAACACCGTTTCAATCGTTAAGTGGGTGTGCTATCGTCCGAGTGCCAACTTTTTCTCTTCTCACGGGTAGCTTCATCATAAGTGGGTGGTGGGGGGATGCTGTCACTCTTCGTCTTAACAGGCTTGGTAGGCATAAGCTTGTCTTCATCTGCTTCTTCTGGAATAGAATCTCTTCGTCTCGCGTCGTATTCAGCTAAGGCGGGCTGGGATATATTGTTCCGTTGTGTAAGTTTTGGTGCACTGTTTGCTAGCTGAAAATAGATTTTTGGTGACAATCATTTTTGTATACATGGAACATACTAATTACAACTTAAACTCACCTTATACGAATGAGGCACAGTTCTGTTGGACAAAACCGGATTTGATATATGGCCTTTAGCTTGTTGATGTGAAACCTCCAGGGCAGATCTAAGTAAGTCAACTTTGGAGGCTGAGCTTTGCGATTTAGGTGATATCTCAATGTTGCTACAACGGCGCTGACTATTACTTCCACTACGGCTTCGGCAGAGTTCGTTTATGTCGCCTTGAGAGAGCTGGAAGAAATATAGATTATAACAAACTATAGGATCTATATAGCTTGAATCCACAGACTAAGACTGAAATGCAAATAAACTTCATAGCTTTTATCTATAGATGGTGGCTTGTGACCCAGATGGCATTTCTATAACTCATTTAATATCTAGATTTCTAGGCAAAGTCCAATATGTTTCGAAAATAGAAACAGTAGTTAGATGGAGACGGAAACCATTCAGATTCAATAGCAATCATATGTTACCGTTAGACTTAGTCAAACTCTTATTTTTATTGAAAACTTCTAATATAAATAAATAGCTCATCGCAGCCCACCTGGTTCATGACTTCTTAATATATGATTTTCATGATATATATTATAGAGCATATAAGACTCACCCTAGCACGAGATCCCCTAGATAAAGAGTGCAATGATCCAAGTGGATTAAACCTAGTTATCATGTGTAGTCTCTCTAAAGACACCATGGTCTCTGCATCCTTACGAAGCGGTTCACCATTTAGCTTGTCCCCTTCTCCGCTTTCTGAAAGTTGTTGATTCTCTTTGTTCAATAAAAAGACATAGAAATTAAGAACTAGCCCAGACCTAAAGGTAATATGGCTTTGTTGTTTTAAGTACTTAAAAAGAAAGATAAATAATGTTCAACTAACAAGATGCCTAGAAAAAACTAACCTGTGTCCGGTTCAGAAATTTCTGGAATAGCTTTCATATTAATGTTGCGCAACCAAAAGTAATGAAGAAGTCCATACAATACTCCTCCTAAGAAGGCTATTAAGCCCATGTACCGGAAGGCTTCTCGGGTGCCAAGAGAAGCAATAAGCAGGCCTCCTCCAAAGCTGCCACTACCACGACCTGTTACATTAAATTATATAATTAACATCATACTTAGTATTAGGTGAAGAGTGTAGTAGAATGGTAATATGACTTAGGGAAAAAAAAAAAGACCCAGAAAATATAAATACTAAAGTGTATCACTTTGCATAAGTATTACATTGAGATAGATAAAGTATGCATGCAAGCATGTATTTGACATGCAATGAATTACATGCATATGTGCGATCAATAACTATTAACAAATTATCACGATGCAGCTTGAAATATTTAGAATTTTTTTTATTTGAATTTTTACCTAAACTAAAATGAGCCATTCCTAAAACACCAATCAGAGTAGCCAATAAGCTTTTCGGTGCTAGCATGGCGCAATATGTAGCAGCAGCAACCCACATCAGGTGCACTGACAAAGACTCCATAGCTTCAAATGGAAAGCACCACCAAGAATCTCTGTAAATAAATATATTATCATTATGTTTTTGGAAGCATCTTTATTTTCTCTTAAATAATAACTTGAATTTGCCTTTTTTTTAAGAGACTGCGATCCCACCTCATGATAATAGTGATGCGGTTTTTTAAAGGTTGTGATGCTTTCTATGAAAACTGCAATAACCTTAACTCATGACTTGTGTTGACCGTCATCGATTAAAAGAGATATCGTAAGTATTCAATTCACTTCATATTTTATAAGTCTTAATGACGAGAAGACCACCCAATGTTTTATCTTCATCTTTCTCCAGGTTAAGATGTTTATTTTAAACATTACGAAGGAATTTTTAATTTAATAAGTGAACAGAGCTTCGCGCCTTTATATTCCAATAAACAATAAACATTAAACACGGCGTTGACGTTTCGTTACAGTTTGACATTGACATTACATAAAACCATACTGGAAAGTAAAAACGGGACGGTAAAAGGAACAGTAATAAATTGCAAATAAAAGGCTTGCAATTCAATTCAGCTCAAATAGTCATAATAGTAATATAATATAGCAATTGGGATTTTTTTGTATGTTAAATAAAATAAGGGTTGAACTCGATCGAAGCTGAACCTCAGCTTCGATCAGTTCAACAAGACCTTAGACAAGGCTTACGCTATCGCCTAATTTCTCTTGTTTTTTTTTTTTGTTTTTCCCGGACACTTTGTTAACAATAGTGTGGAATAAGATGGTATATTTTATAAAAAATAATCGTAAGTTTTTCAGATGCAACAATGTAGGAGTATGCTGACAGAAAATAAAGATCGTGGAATTTAAAACGTCCTTTAAAAATTAAAGCACCGTTTGTGAGGTAAGATCTTAATCGACGAAGACATCAAGTTTATGAACACCGCCAACGCATTCTGTCAGTGTAGGTTACATTTATCTTAATAAGATGTAAAAAAATTAATCATTATAAGTTTTTGTTAAGGACTTTACGTTACGTTTGTTAAAAACCCAAAAATATATCTACAACAATATCGAATAAAATACAACATGCCACCAAATCGAAGAAGTTATTTTAAAAGCTGTTAAAGAAGATTATCACTAAATAGCAGACGTAATAGTATTATCTGTTTGTTTATATTAAAGTTTAAACACATTTGACGAGAGTAGATAGGTAGTTGCTAGAAATGATAGATCTTTATTTGTTCAAGCGTTGTGTCTTGCCTATGCGCAGTATTTCTCCTATTGTCTTATGAATATCATGACCATCAGTTAATCAACACTTATTTAATTGGATAGTACACATTTTACAATTATCAGATAAGGGACCTATTGTTATGTCATTAACCGTTGTACTCTTAAAGATGGTAAATAGCCTCAAACGTCTTAAAATAAATCACGTCTTATTTTATAAGTGTTATACTTGTAATATATAAAATTCTCGTGTCACGGTGTTCGAACTTGAACTCCTCCGAAACGGCTCGACCGATTTTCACCAAATTTGATATGTGTATTCAGTAGGTCTGAGAATAGGACAACATCATTTTTCATCCCCCCTAAGTGATAAGGGAAAGGGTTGTTCACCCTTAATTTTTTTTTTATACAAAATTTTTAATTTATCTATTTTTTTTATGATACAACATACAAAAATACATACAATCCTTAATTTTCACCCTTCTACGATCAACCCTTATTTTTTAATAGACATTTTAGTAAAATTATTTATATGGAAAAACAACGTTTGCCGGCTCAGCTAGTAATTATATATATTATAAAGTTGTTTTGATTTTAATGTAAAAATTGATGTTTAATTTATGAAGACTTAAAGTAGGTAACTGGGTTTGGTAGAGCGATGGAACACTGCAATGTTTTATAGGGCAAGGTGAAATTGCGAAAATGTAATTGTTCTATAAGTGTATATGTTGCAATTCTCATATCCACTTACTCAATAAAGGAGTAGCCGACAAGTCTGGCGGCGTGGGAAAAGAACGCGACGACGATCACGTTGACGTGGCCAATCCGGGAGGTGATCGCGTCTGCGCCGTAAAGGAACGGGATGCTGCTCAGCGTACCAACTGTCACCGTTATTCCTAGAACGTTATTACTTAATGCGATTCCAAAATACGTGCATCCTTCACAACAGGAAGTTCACTTAGAACTACTACATAGAAGGATTGTAAAACATAATTATCGTACTCGCTCACCTAATAAGAAATTCGGTGCTCCCAACTCCTTTAAATACAGAAACAAGTAGGACTCAATAAAACCCCAGAAATTGCCGAGTGCAAATAGAAAGAATATGAAAATGATAATGTGGGGCATCTTTATGATATTCACTAAGTCGTGTAATAGATTATCGGCCGGTAGTTTTGCCCCGAGTGGCATGACAGCGACGGTGATCGCCGATATTAGAAGCAAAACGTCGTAGGTGTAGAAGGCAGCAGAATAATCAGTATATCCTGAAACAAACCGATGCGCATGAGTTTACCGAAGTGTAAGCATATTGACATTGAAGATAACAATTACAAAACTGTTTAAAATACATACCCACTTGTTTACTGCGCATATCTATTAACATGCCGGTGATAGGTGAAAATATTGCCATTCCAATGCTTGAGAAGAGCCTCTCTCTACCGAAGTCTCCGCCGTACTTTTGTATCATGGTCAAAGCGATGGGATCCATTATAGTGACACCGGCGGATAGCATGATAGTGCCCATGAAGCGTAAGAAAAAGTAAATATAAAAAGTTTTATCGTCACTTTCCTTATAGTCCGGCGGACAAACATCCGGCCCGCCTTTTCTGTAAATCAATCGGGCTATGATAGTGGATGGTCAATATTAAATATGTTTTATCGATGTGTAATGTAAAGCTTATAAAAAGTGGAATACAAGCGAACAGACGCGAGTTCTGTTGGAGCACAAAAACAGAAACTACTACTTTAGTTCGAATTATTTATGTTGTTGTGTTAGTTGGGGCACTTATTGAAGATTGAGCTTTACAAGGCGAATGCGAGCGAAGAAACAGTAGAAAAACCCTGGGGAAATTATAAATCTGTGAGGGCTTTCGTCTCGTGCGCTGCGATAACTGTTCAAGATACCCTAAAAATATGTGTGAATGAATAAATTATTTTTAATTGATATAATAAAGTTTAACTAGCAAGAACGACGAGACTCGACCGACGTCGTAGCAGCTACAATTTCTATAGATGAGGAGGAAATTTGCAAAAAAAGTTTTGATTCCCAAAATTACTATTCTACGCAGACGAAGTCGCCGGCACATCTAGTGTAAAATAAAGTGGGATGTCGTACTTGCCTAAAATCACATTTCTGTACCATACAATCGGCGGATAACGTTGCAAGCCGTTGTTGAGATAGTTTAGTCATATTGTGTAACATGACAAGCCCTCCACATCTCAAGTCTTCTTTATCAAGGGCTGTTATGTTTACACCCTGAGACAGTAGGAGTTTTTCCCCAAATCTTGATCTGAAGTCCGTTACAGTGTCGTTATCGTCCTAAAATATATTGATTAAGTTATTTTACATATATAAGTGTTAAGAAGCATTGTTTGAACATAATTAAGCACTATTTTAAATTTTAAGAGGAGGTATAAAGATATACGTGTTTTAAGTTTAAAAATCCTGTTTTTTCCGCAAAGAGGATCTTTTGGAGGCAATTAGTAGATGGAAAGTAAAATGTTCCAGCTTTACACATTTACTCGTAAATAATATGCGACAAAGTTAAAATCCGTTGAAATTGTTAGCTTTGTAATCTGGGAACTTTATTATTAACGTAATTATATATGCTTGTCTTGTATTACAAATAAATATTATTGTTCATTACACGTAAGAAACGCTATAACAGACACCTTCAAAGAACACATAGGTAATGTCATGAAGTTAAGAAGGTATTAATAGTGTTTTTCGTAAAATGAAACACTTTTCAACGGTAAAAACGCAAAATGTATTACTTAAGGTGTTTTAAAATGTATGTTGACTAAGGACTACTATTTTTTTACTACTAATATTTTAGAACGCTTCACTGCTGCCGCAGTCACGGTGACAGACAGACTACAGTACTGAGTGTTTTACTTTAATATATTTACATACCCTTTCCATTTCAATACCAAGTTGCTCTTTAGGTTCTCCTAAATCGTCGTGGACTTCAATTAAGAAAAATGCTGCGTCATTGTAATCCTCTTCATCGTAGGTACCGTTTATAAAACTAGAAAAATTACATACATTGTTTTTTTCTTTTACAAAACGATGTTATATGGGTTTAGTTAAGCCATGTCTTATAGATATCATAAAAAAAGTACTTTTGTCGCATATTGTATTAACTACTGAAAATAGTTTATTTGATCAAATTAATTCACAGGGATTTCAGAAGCTTAGGGATCATAAAAACAGCGATATGAATATTCATTTATTTACATACTTATATTTGCATGATAGAGCATTTATGTGTTGTGACGATGAGTACTTCCAACAAATACAGACTTGATTTTTAATTAGAATCAAGCAGATAGTAGGTAAAAGAAGTTTTCAGAAAAATAATTACCTGCCATTGAAATGAAACAAACTTAACGTGTTAAAGTGCGAAATATATAAATAATATAATACGAATAATTTGTCTGATATATTTTGCGGTTTAACCGTTAAAATTGTTTTATTTAAATGTGTACTACTGGAGCCAAAACTTACCTGCTATTAGATAAATTAGGCGGATAAATCTTTTGCACAATATGAACATCAATATCATCTTTATCATCTGTGGGATCACTAGTTGGGCTGGTCTCCGTGGGCCTGAATAGCATACAGTGATCCACACATCTGTCTAGTACAAAATCCACTTGCTCGTCTTCATCAGGGCACTCTCTGCTAGGACACGGGCTCCACCAAATCTAGAATTTTAGTTACACTATGTGTACAGTCTGCTTAAGAACAAATATGCGATAATTTTGAAGTCAGATGATATTTATAAACATAAAAGCCCCTGTTCAACTATCATATTCGACACAACGTCGTTGTTCAAACAAACAGTAGACAAATATATACTCCTTTATTCAATTTCTAAAATTGGATACCTCGCAATATCAACTTTAACTAACGAGAGAATATGTAATAATACAAAGGTATTATCATTATCATGCAACGATGTAACCTGCATACATTTAGCTCTATTCTCTTAACGAATAAGTCCCACTGTGTCACTAGTTAATGGTAGCCGGATGAGGACGATTTGCTTAAATTCTTAGAGGACAGTAGCTAAGTAACGGTGTTACGAGGATTAATCTTGAATCCTTTCGAAATCCCTAATTTTTGAATTAATGTACTACCTCGACGGTCTCCTTGATCGGATGTCTCATTACGTATGCCGATGGCATCACTCCTGGCGTTTCCTGATGTGGAATCAAGAGCAACGAATGATGAAAGGCTGCGTTTAGTATTAACGCTGTTATCACAACAGGCTTATATTCTCCGAAACGGTCCACGAGAAATCCTAAAAAAAATGCGTACTTTGGATTCTCTTTAGAACACTGAAATCTATTGTTCGATTCGGCTAGGCTGACTTACCAGTTATCGGAGGGCTCAAAAACGTAGTAAAAGGTAAAGCTAGGTATACAAACGATATTTCAGGAACAGTTAAACCTATGCTTTGCATGTGTATCGTCAGGTATGGTAAAAGGGATGCAGTGGCTCCATACATAACAAAAAGTGTCACTTTTAACATTATAAGGTTCGGGTTGATCCGCAGCGACAGAATGAACCTGCGAAAGCAACCGGGCGGGTCTTCGCTATCGTCATCCATGTTCATGTCGTCTTCACTGTACTTTTTAGGGATGTCATCACACGATTTAGCCATGTTACGGATAACAACTTCACATCTTCAAAACTAGGTTTGAGTGTGTATACGCGAACTATATCTTATCGACTGGCGCATGGATTGTTGGTGAGGCTGTCGGTGAAGTGACGATTATTTACTTAAGGATTGTGAGCTCGGCAGCGGTAAGCCAAATGGGTCCTGACTCCCGACTGCGTAGCGGATCGAGCCGAGCGGACGTCGCAAGACGACAATTTACAATTTACAAATTACCTTCGTTAAAGAAGTGTCACGGCGATTGGCTGAGATGTTGGTTAAATCGACTCGTGATTTGAAGACCTTGAGGATAATAGCTGGGGTCAGGGCGCTCCTGGATAGATATTAGTTTCCCAGTGGCACAGGTAGCGAATAACTGCAATTTCTGTCGCTGGCATTTGTAAGTAAGTGTATTTTTTTTGATAATACTTACGAATTTTATGTTAAATAATTGAAAAATAATAGTAATCCCATAAAATGAATACCTACCAGAAAATAATAGCTATCATGGACTACAGTACAAGAAATATTCCTTACCAACAATATAATTAACATAGTAACTACTTAATATTAAGTATTTAGTCAGCCCAGTATTTTTTTTTTTTATTAAACGAAGGCAAATTATATATTTTTTCAATGTTTAGAATAAGGAAAGCTTGCACAGCTGTATAATTAATATTATATATAATCGATACAAGATTTAGTATAATTGTATGTATAATAGGTTAAACTCACATAATAAATAATAATGTGAAATAAAAGTAAAATAATTATATGTTAGAAAAAATTATATGTGATCGAAAACAAGTTTTCTTACTTCTGCGCCATCTTTTAAGCACATAAATATTTAACATCTCTACTAAAACACAACACAGAAACAATCATTTATTTAAGTGACATCTCGTAGTCGACGCAGTAATATTTTTAGGTTTAACATTTTCTTTATTATTGCAATATTTATTGTTGTGGCAAGGTTTTTTCAATAAATATAACTTAATTTACTTTTCTATATTCTGATGAATATAGATTAATATAAACAATGTTACATTAAAAGAGTTTTATATCAACAATGTTTATTTATTCTAGTTGTGATCAAAATAATCTTTTACTTTTCTTAAATTCTTAGATAATAAATACTACTATTCTTCTTTGAAACACAACACACCATTAAATGAAATGTTTTCTTAAAACATAAGAACCCTTTTCTATTAGTTACATTGTGCTGCCACCAAGTGACCATTTTGGCCACTAATGTATTTATGCCGTTCTGTTAAGTTAATCTGTAGTCTACTGCAAATTGTCAACCGTATTGCATTGCGCATAAATGGCCGCCATGTTGCTGCCGTCTGAAAGATGTTCACATCTGTGTGTGTTTACTAATGAATTTTAAGAACTTTAATTGTTAAATTACCGTGTTCGTGAAATTGTGAGTGTACAATGGTTTTCATTTACATATGTTATAGTGTTTAAAAGTCTGTCAAATGTCTCTGAGACCAATAAACAGTGAAAATTTCTTTAGGTAGTCATTCCAAGTCGGACGGCATAATGGCTGACAATCTAATTCAAAAGTCACATAAAACTAGTGAAAAAAACAAGTATAACAACGTTGTTCATCGCACTACAAGTGAATCTCTTCGACTGAACGAGTCAGAAAAGGGAGTGACTCACCCGACAACTCTTCAATCCGCTCATAACCCAAGGAAAATATCTTCCTTTCAGATCACCAGTGTGACTGTGGGCTCACGGGTGAGCACTGATGCTGGAGAAGACTCTGCCGACGATCTAGACGAATCTCACACCGATGACATTTCGAGGGTGACCGACATAGAGAATGAAACACCGAGTTACTCCGAAGACACCTTCTCAAAAGACGATGTATTTTATAACGCATCTAGTGCTTCGTTAGGTTGTGCGCCTGTCATTCCAACGAGTTCACAATACGGTCTCGCAATCGTAGGTCAGGATACCAACACCACTCAAACAGGAGGAGTAGTGCCAAATAGTAATAATACGGAAGTCAATGACATGCACGTCAGTGTAACGAATGCCGGAACCGGCAGCATTATCAACCTCATAGGTAATGCTGCTAAACCCCAAGAAGGTATGAAAGAAATTCAAGAACATGTTAGAAATGAAAGATTCAAAGTTGTGAAAATAGAAAGTACAGAACCGTTTCGCCGTGGCAGATGGATGTGTATGGATTATTTAGATCATACAACTCAGCAAAATACTCCTATCACTCTTAATAACAATATAGATGTATCGGAATCGTCTAATTTGCAAGCTCCGGATAGTGGTGTTGTGATAAATGATAGCCAACATGATGATTTGTGCAATGACTTGACATGCAAAGGGCCTAAGGATCAAGTAAGTGTACCAGTGCAGCAAATAGATCAAAGTGTTCAGAAACAATTTCCAATGGCCTCTCCTGGTCAGTCACTTACACAACCTATTAATATTGTGCAACAGCAAATGCCTACAAACCAATCTGTGTCTGTGCAATCTCCACCGCTGGAAATGCCACAGCAGATGACAAATCAAAATATCCAGTCTGGCCAGCAAGTGGCTCAACAACATCCCCAAAGTATGACACATATCACATTGCAAAACACAGCACAAGGTCATCCACAGGCATCGCAGCAACAACAGCAACAAGTCCAACAGATCCCGCAGAGCTTCCCCCAGCATCAACTTCAGCAAGTTATTGCACAATCACAGAATATGGCATTACAACAAATTCCAATGCATCAACAAATGCCACAGCAGATGCAACAGATTCCTAACCAGCAAATGCAGCAGATCAATCAACATATGCCACAAGCCCAGATTTCTAACATGCAACTCCAACAGCAAATACCACAAATGCAAGGCATACCTAATCAGGGTCAAATGTCCCAGGTTGGTGGTCAACAACAACAAATGCAGCAAATGCAGATGCAACCAATGCAGGGTCAACCAAACCCTCAAATTCACCAGATGCAACAAGCCCAGATGTCTAATATGGGACAAACCCATCACCTACAAGGACAACAACCCATGGTACCGCAACAAGCTCAGTTGCAGCATTTGTCTAGTCAAGCCCAAATACAAGCATTACAGAATCAACAAATTCCAAATCATATTCAGCAAATGCAAATTCCTCCTCAACTCGCTGCACCAAATCAACAAATATCTCAAATGCAACAGCAAATGCATCAGATTCCAACTCAACCCCAGCAGTCTGTTGTCACCGGAATGCATCCACAAATGCAACAGCAAGGAATGGCAGTGCCACAACCCCAATATAACCAAGTGAATCAGCAGCCTAATGCGCAAACTATGATGAGTGCTAATATGCCATCTTCGCAACAAACATTGGTACAAACTCAACATAATGTACCACAGTACCATACCCAGCAATCCCAAATGAGCCAGCAAGGACAGACTATGCCGCAAGAGGTGCTCACAAATATTGTTACATCACAACAAGGTGCCACGCTGCCATCTAATCTTCAACCTATGGTCACACAACCACAAGGATCTACATTACCTGCGAATCTCCAAAGCTTAGCTAGTCAACAGCAACCGCCAGTTCACACTATGACTCAACAGCAGACTGTTCCTCAAGGAAATATTCAATTAATGACCGGTGCACCGCAGAATATACAAATGACTTTAGAAAATCAACCTAGTATGCAGATCCCTCCTTCTGATCCCATATATATGCAACAAAATGTCGCTCAACAGTTGCCTTCTCATATGACCCAACCCCAGAGTATAATGCAGCAGCAAGTGCCCGGACAACAGATGGGAGGTGTTCAATATGTTCCTAATCAGCCAGTACCTCAGGTGTCAATGGCTCACCAGAACATTCCTATGTCGATGCAGCAGAGTATGCCAGTTGGAATGGGAGGTGGGGTCCATGCGAATGTCGTGCAGGCGCAAACAAGCATGGGTTTAACGTATGGAGGTGTGGTGCCCGTGATGTCTCAGAGCAGTGTAGCCCCAGTTGAGACGGTGTCGGGAACTAATTCACCAGTGGTGTCGATGCCGGCCAGTTCTACCACATATGTGGCAAGTGCAGCCCAACCGGGTCTCGATAGTCAGGGCTTCGGAAGCCCCGTGAGTGTAGTGTCGCACACGGTTAGTGGCGCAGTGATGAGCAATGTGAATGTATGTGAAAGTGGTGCTCCGGATGTTTCCGCGGATGGGTTGCAGGCAGCCGACGCGGGCGATGGTAAAGAGGAGGCACATCCAGCTCCAGCAGCTGAAGATGAAAGGTACGTACTTTTTCGAACATCAATGTAATTATAATATATATATATATATATTATATATATATATATATGTACAGGTACTATATTTAAAAGTATCTATTTTTCTATAGGACTCTTAAAATTTAATCACTACATAGTATAAAACAATATCGCTTTTTCTGTCCTTATGTTCGCTTAAATATTTAAAACTACGCAACCGATTTTTATGCGGTTTTTTTTTCAGGGATTCAAGAGAAAGGTTTATAAATACAACATTCACAGTTTATCTGTAGTGTAGTTAGTATCAGCATTGCACGCGAGCGAAGCCGGGGCGGGTCGTTATTAGATCTATATTAATAAAATTACTAATAGTAAATTATTTACCAATTTCATGGATAAGGTTTAGTCGCGATGCTATTGACCAAGTGAAATGACAAGCTTTCAGGACTTCAAAAAAACCACGACAAAATCTTTTCGAATAGCACTGGGCTTCGAGCATAAGTTCGGTTAGCAACGGTAGTAAGTTTAGGTCTAGGTACGAAAACGAAAGTCTATTTGCGAAAATAACTTATCCGTAGACAATAGTCGTTGTTTTCTTCGCGTTGGACTGTAGCTGATGCTGGCGAACGGAATTTGCCTTCCCTTTGATGCTGTTTATTTGCGTTTCGTCCTGCGCCATAAATAGGTGGTTGACACGCACAGTGCATGGTGCTTGGCGGTATGCGGTGACTCATGCGTAACACATCCGATGCGAACTTTTGTAAAAAAAAACACCTCTCCTAGTTTCAAAATGTAAAATGTGATTAAGTACGAGCGCCTAAATTCTAAAAATGTATCCGACCAGTTGCACTCCATTAAGTTTCTTTAATATGTAGCACACCGTAATTATACTTAGGAATCGAAAGAGGCGCCTGCGCAGCGTCACGGTGTCGTTGGTAATCGAGTCGAGATAGGAAGGCCACGAAATATGAGTCCGCTCGTTCGCTCTTGACCGAAAAGTTATTATAATATTAACCCGCGTCTTCTTGAAAATTATTGTTTCTTTCAGTATATATTTAGCGCGTGTATGCAGTGCGGGACGCATAGAATAGTATAACATCACTTGAACACTTCTCCGAGTTTTTCTTTTACGGCCTATTGTCTAATTATGTTTTTGAACTGCGCGTACGCAGAATCGTCGTAATGAAACGCGGCTCTGTGGTAATTATATGACGTTTTTATGATGGAAATGTACGATTGTTATATATGTCTGTAGTGGAGGCGCTAATTTGTTAACAGTGTTTTTAAGACACCTCTTTGATTGGTTCCTACAAGTAATATAAATCAATACAAATAATATTTGTTTATGTATATCTGTGTCTATTTTCGTGCTACGTCGTGTACTAAATTCTCATTTTATATGTACTTTTTCCTACCGTCTGCTCATCGAGTTTGTATGTCGTGTCTAAATTCGTGTGAATGAGTGCTAAGCACATGTATGAGTAGTTAATCGGTTCTTTAGCGTTTTTCACGCAAACGTGCCGTTTTTATATCGTTTTCTCCACATTTCAGATTGTAACTTAGAACACATTTATGTATATACATATATAGCTTGAAACTAACCTTATTAAAAGGATTTTATATGAAATATACAAACGCAAATTTACATTATCTTAATATCTAATTATAGTAATTTTTATCTTGAGAAACTGGAGGCGCATGCGTAATATTTATAGCGTGTTAGTATAATGATATATATGGCCTGTAAAGTAGTTTGTTGTCAAACAAACTTCTAACGATGCGTGACTGCTGCCGGGCAAGGACGACCGGCGAAAAAACTGATCTTGTCGCGTTTTGTTCGTAGCTCATGATTTATTGATTTGATGACTAGTTGTAGAGATCAGTATTCTACGTAGGACTGAATAGGAAATAAGCTTAAATGTAAACTAGACCTTTGTCGACTAAACTCACTATCACACTAATCGACTTTGCTCTGCCATATGAGGTATCGTACTTATAAATCGAACGTACCGTACTCTGTGGATTCTGATGCAGATCCTGTCTGTGTCATTATTTGGCGCCTAAAAATTATAAGTATTAAGTGACAATTGACTACAGTTGTTTTTTATAAACAGCCAGTTGCTGATATCAGCACAGCCTAAAGTTACGACGCAATATATTTCGTGATGCGTTTGCATTGTTATTATTAGTAAATTGTTCATTTTGTTTTGCAACAAACAACCTACCCTAAGGGGTACGGTATGACTAATAATCACTTCCTCTCAGTTGATTTATTTGTTCGTTTTATATGAAAAGAACATAATCTTTCAAGTAAGATTTATCTTAAATACTCGTCATATAATAGTGAACTATGCGTATGATACTAGTGACAAGATGCGAAAAAAACTAATATCATTAGTTCAGAATTGCCCTCCTAAGCATTTTCTATGATCTGCGCATTACAATTTTTAACTCCGGTTTTATTGTTTACATTGTATATTTGTTCAAATATAAGTAGTTTGTGTATAAACATCGCCTTTGTGTTTACGTTTTTACAATAGAGTTGATATTGCGGTATATGTATATATAAAGGCTATAACCGTAATTGGATGAAACTTATCTGAGTTATTTTCGTATCCTACACGTACTTAGCCTTATTCGGTATTAATGTACTGTTTCGTGCAAATAATTATCAAGCTCAAACACCGGTGGGTTGAAGGATCTCTCGCATACCACGAATTTTGTGCTTCGCTACTAATTATTCGGCCTTTTCTCACGAAAACTATTAATTACATGAAACCTCAAAAAAATAATGTAAGTAACTATGCTGTAAAGATGTAAAACAACATTAAAGTTGTGCCAAGTGGTTTAATTAATTAAATGTACTTTACAATTTTCTCAGACTATTCTAGTGCTAAGATAATTGTTGTCCGTTCACGCCTAGCTATAATGTAAATCAATATTAGTTTTTTAAATGATAAATGCTTAAATATACGATCATGAAGTGTGATTGCATACCTAATTGACCTTTACATTACTTGTTGACACCGATAATGGACAAATTAAAAATCTCTAATGTTTGTGCTTACTGTATCGCCTTATGTTCATGTTAGTCGTGTAGGGTTATGATCAACGGGTTACAGAGTCTAGACTTCGTCTGGAATATCGCAACTCTACAAACCCATGACAACAGATAAAAAGCCCATTTAGCTTTCAAACAAGGATTTTCGAATTTCGAATGTCCAAACTCCAAAGTCAAAACTGGTCGACGGTTTTGTTTATAGCTCGCGTACATTACCATCTATCAAGTGATTCCACTCTAGTCTGTCGTCCTATAATGAAAATAAAATGTCGTATTTGTGAGGGCAAAACTTTCATAATTTTCAAAGCTAGAAATTAAATTTCCGTATACACGAAGTGGGTACTTTATTTCCAACTACGTTTCAAGAGCACTTTTAGCATATAGCATACTTTTTTTCCTACTGCGACACCAAATGAAAGCGGACTAAGCGAGGCTTTGCGACAAAAATCGCTTTTGAAATTAAATATACATTTTATATGAATATAATGTAAAAATACTATGTATAACTGCTTTCTTTGACCTTAGCTGTTCATTCTCTTGACTGCAGATCAATGCTGCGTCATCAAGAGTTAGGGTTTGAATTGCAGTTCGTCGAAATAATTCGATTTCAAATAGAAGGTATCGCCACTAATCTAGTAGCGGCTGCCAAGCAAAGTCTGACAACATTTGAGCAGAATGTGATGGCAGAGCGTGGGGCCTTAGCTTTTCTGAACCGCAGCACACGCAACGGACTCTCTCAAAGATGAATAATTTTTCCCGTTTTTCCACATTTTCAGCTATGTTATTAAGTGTTAAGCCTTCCTTGATAAATCGTCCAATAGAAACGAGTATTTCCTCAGAAGAGCCCGTTTTCTTATCTGTGTGTTCTGTGTGTCTCTGATGAAACTCTTCAGTGTGTTCATATTAGATATAGATATGTAAATGTCGAATTAAATAATCTACCTAGTTTTGATACCTAAGCACTAAACGTAGTTACTTAATACTATAAATAAACAATCGTCAACACAAGTTCACGATAGCGTAATGTATGTTATCACCTCGCGTCTTCGTACAGGAATAAAACTGAAGGTTCATTAATCCTATAATAGTGCAGTCGTAATAAGCATAACAAAAGCTGCATTGGGCACAGTGCGTCGTATTGACCTCTGTATGAACGATATTTCTAATTATGTCCATTATCGCTCTTTGTTTCCAACTCGTTGTAGGCACTTGCCGATTGTAATCTCTAAGTACCAATCCGTTTGGTTAATAGATATATTCTGTTGTTTTTGATAAGGCTGCCTCGCTTAATATATAAAGGGGATTATATTAGAGCACCGGGGCCCTTGACAGCATGCGTGAGTCGGGCTTTCGGTAAGGGTTCCGTAGCGTAGACTAGAAACACATATTGCAACCTTTTAGAAACCTCAAGAGCAGTACCTGTTATCATTTATTGATATCAAACAAATAGGCATTAAATTACGTTACGTTACTTTCTTTGGGAGCTCCTTTTACTTAGTGCCTATGTATTTAATCTATATTTATACTAATATATAAAGCTGAAGAGTTTGTTTGTATGTTTATTATCATCTTAGAGGGTTTCCAATTCGTACACTGCCAAAACGGTTGAAGATACCAAAAAAATATTTATGAAAGAATTATTTTGCCTTGAAGAATCTAATAAATGTTCGCGACACTATATGTCTACTTTTAAGGTGAACTTGCTAGAACGACGGGGCGCGACTTAAGTGAGTAACAGCTTAAATTCATAAAGATATGGAAAAGGTTTATAAAAACAAATTTGGACGTCCAAAATAACCGTACTACGCGGACGAAGTCGCTGACACAGCTAGTTTTACTGTATCTTATTAACGTTACAACTACTTACTTGTGAAATGTGACCTATAAGTTTTCTTTATTGTATTTCTATTAATATTCCTACATTTATGTAGTGAAAGACTATTTTAGAAAGAAAGGCTGCTCGTGTGTTTTACGCTTTTCTAGGGTAGACGAAGTAAAAGTTGTACACGTAAGTTATTAAATGCAACTAGACTTAACTTTTAACTTTCACTGGGTGACATCGTTAACTGCGTTCAATACAGCCGTCCGATTTAATTTAATAACTTACCATAATTCATATATAGGTTGTGCGATTTCTAGTATCCAGATATATTAGAGAAACGTAAGAATAAAATATAACTAGGTATATAAATATATGCTTTGGAGTCATGCGTGTGTTTAGTGGTTCTGGTCGGCTGTATGATGTACCACCCTCCCGACGTCACCCTTGCCCGACGTGGGCGTGCATTAGGCATTCACACCATCAGTTAATAAAAAGTATATTAATATATACTTAGTTGCCCATAATTGCGTCTTTACAAATATTTCTTGAAATTGTATACAAGTCAATGGGAATTATCAAGCATTAATTATGTTGAGTTATTTTCTGGTACAGTCCGTTTAGGTAATTTAATAAAAGAAAGCGTAGAAGTGTCCCTATACAGTAAGAAGGGTAATTCAACTCTATTGGATTCTTGATACTATAAAATCAGCGGTCGTGGTCACAGGGGTGCGCTAGCGCCAACTACGCAGACTAACTCCGTCCTTACAGAAACTTTTTAGAATAGAAGAGAATAAATTACGTTTATTCAGAAACAACATTTACAATTGAAACTTAATCCGATACGATTTCTACTAAGTTACCTCATTTATTTCGTGTTTTAAACGTTGTACTGTTAAATTATTTCATCATTAATAGGTACAACGAACGAATTGAATTAAGGCGTGTGACGTAGAGGACATGGGAAACGTGTTCTATGTGACGCATGGTGCAGTCGCGTCAGTTACGCCAACCGAGTCGAATTATTATAATTCAGGCGTCACCAGATCCAATCGGCGGACGTTGGCGCTTGTAGGAAACGACTCCAGAGTGGCACGGTGCCAAACCTAATGAACGCGCCTTTTCAGCACTTGTTACTACAAAACTGCAACCGAATTACGTATTTGTCGAAACTTCGATTGCTTTGATGGTATTGTTAAAGAGGTTTAATATAATAATTTCATAGATAAGAATTTATCTTAATTTGAATAGTGACGGGCGATGTCTCTGGAATAAAAACTTGTCTTGGATACCTTCCTGTCTAACTTAGGTGCTATTAGAATTTAAATAAAACATTTTAACGGTTTGAAACGCGATATATATGCATTCAACTTATTTTAACGACGTTTTGGATGCTTTGCAGCTGCCGTGGTCACGGAGACCCGTGACCTAATACATTTCGCGTCTTAAACCGTCGAAGCTTCATTATTAGTACTTGTAGGTAGGCATGGCGTTACCGATCTTTAAGATCCTGCCCTATATGGGCTAGGAATCCCATGGCAAGTACCCAGGTTCTTGAAAGTGAATTAAGACTGCATTTTATGAGTGATTGTTAAACCATAAATAAAGTTTTTAAAGACATTATCATCGTATATCAAGAGATTGTTATATACAGTTTCAACGTCAATTCTGCAGCGAAAACAAGTGTTATCCACTTGTCATATCTGAACATCAATATATGGTTTTATACCCACGCACTCGTCAGCTTTTACGATATCCGATCTAATGCATTCCGCTGCCAAAATATAAGGATATACAGTTATCTAGTCGATCAATCGTTTACTAATACCTATCACTGACGCGAGTTGATGAAGGATAATATCACTTTTAATACATACAGGGAAAATAAGTGATACTTAAATGTTGTTTACTTTCTGACTTGCACTAAAAGAATACAGTGCAAGGTAGTTGGTAAAATGGGCTGTACTGCCGCGGACATTTTTTTTAGATATTTTAAAGAAAAATAATTCTTATATACATATTTTTTGGATATCTTGAACCGTATTCGGAGTGCACGCAAAAAACACCCGTCATTGATAAACAATTATCCTCGGTTTTTTTTCACATTTTCCACTTCTTTTATGGGCTTTCATCGTGATGTTTTCATTTCGAACCAATAGTTCCTGAGATAGCGCGTTAAAACAAACAAACTCTTCAGCTTTTTGATGTTGTTCTTATACAGGAGGAGATGTAACTTTTTTATTTACATATTTTCACATTTGCCTGATTGAATACTTGAACCAGGCAATAACATTGATAAATGGCTTGGCGCATCTTATTATCTGGTTGGTTAGACGCGATCTGGGCTTATTTGCAATCAATGAAGATTTACATACGCCGCGGAGCCATCGGAACCGCTATGGCCTCGTGAATGCAAAATGTGCATTACGAATTCACAACTGACACGGTTTCATGCTCATTTTGTATGTTCAATTTTACTTATGTACTTGCTGCCGTGTCGGGCTGGTAAGAGGTGCCTATATTACTATGTGTTGAATTACTACATAGTATAAAACAAAGTCGCTTTTTCTGTCCCTATGTACGCTTAAATCTTTAAAACTACGCAACGGATGTTTATGCGGTTTTTTTAATAGATAGAGTGATCCAAGAGGAAGGTTTTTATATATATAGCCGCTAGTTATAGCTGGTAACAAGCTATCGGGTTCGGTCGGGCTCTCAATATTTAGATTTTTTTTTAACATTTCTGTTGCAAGCTCGAAGTTTAAAAGTCGGAGCTGCTATAACTTCCGTTGCTCCATCGTTATCACCACTTACCTAACGGTGTAGTCGTTAATGTTCGCTAACCACCACTGCAGCCTAGGTGGCTCTCTAGCTTTATAACCGTCTCCTATACCTGACGAGACCCGTGCCCCGCAGTGATACATTAGTATGTTTAAATTATAAGCATTTTAAATTAATCAGTAAAAATGTATCTTGGTATTACACTTATAAATTCGGAAGAAATATTAAATACCACCATACTATGGAGAGTTTATTAGAAACTTATCAAAGGTCTGTTTTGTTTGTTTTTACCTTTTTTACCAGCAACCAATTATCATATACACTCATTTTAATTTATGCAAACAAGCTTTGTCCTACCCACATTTCCCTACTTGTAGGAATGTCTAGCATTTCCTTGGTCTCTTTAAGAAATTTACTAGATTAACTTAGGTCTATTTGAATATGATCTGATATAGGAGCTATTTTTCCTATTTTTATACGTCTAATTAATCACTATGAGGTGACGTTTGATAACAGTAAAAAGAATTTACGTATCGCATATTTACGAAATTATCAGTCATATATAATAAATAACTACTGTATAGGTACTGTACACTGTACTGTATAGGTATTTTTGAATCGTATATATATCATAGTAGCCGACCCATTATGCTTTTCTTTAAGTAATTGGACAAATGTTTATGATATCAAATATCATTTCATTTTATTTTGTCTGTCTCTATCCCTGGACTGTTAAATCCTCATTGTTGGAAGTAAGTGGGTTTCGTATAATGGTATAGGGTTTATCTAGTCAAAACTGGCTGATGGACACAATATGTATGTAGTATTTTGCAGCTATACGTTCACTTATAGAGGCGCTCAATCAGTAAATATTGATACAAGAATCCTGGCACCACCAGGTGCGATGTCGTGGCCTTGAACCTTGACTCTGATTTGCTGGTTAATAGCTGCAAGTACAGCTGCTGATATAAATATACGAATCGCGTGTTAGCTTCTCTTCTTCAGCCTGCGACCCTGGCGACGTCTAAGTTAATTGTGATTCTTCGTTTTTAATGTTTCTTTGTTCGAGTTGGACATTTTAATAATGAAACGACAAACTTATGTGAAAGGAACGGTGCATTAATTGTTTTCAACTTATTCTATTGT